GATCAAGCTCCCTTTCTAATGTATATTCTCTAAGGCATTTTACAGTAGTACAGTATACACGTAGTGATCAGCAATCTACAGAAGTCGCGGTACAGAGAAAGTTAGGGAAATCTTCATAACGAAAAACATGTTTTAGTAATACAAGGTAAGAAAGCACCTTACATCTATAAATTTAGTTTTCAATGCAAAATCACATAGTACAAGTCTTATTATGTCCTTGTCGTCCATTATCGACTCGTCAATGGTACAGCTTTAAAGGACAAAAGGAAGAAAATCCAAATGTAAAATCCTCCGGATATATGTAGAAAAATATACCGGAAGGGGAAAACATGCTTTGAAATCCTTGCTGGTATGCCAATCCCGGGGGACGGAAGGAAATGAAAAGCAAAGTCGACCAAATTCACTATATTTTTTTGTATATACTGATTTAAACATTTTAGGGTGGTCGGGTGGCGCAGTGGATAGCTTGACTTGTCTCTCACCAAGGCGGCCGGGTTTCGACTCCCCGATCGGACGTGACAAAGTATGTGTCACCTGCCCGATCACGTGGGTTTTCTCCGGGTACTCCGGGTACTCCGGTTTCCTCCGACATTAACATCCTCGTGCGCTAACATCAGGGCTAACAAAAGTTATTAATACAAGTTGAAATAACTTGTTCCATAACTGTTGTCAATTAATAAAGTTTATATTATATCTAAACAATCCTATTTGTAGATTTGTGTTACAGTGTATACATTTTCTGTGCTATTCCCTCCCTACGGTCGGAATTACTTGACACTATATCTATTTCCTTGTTGTGTATCTTCAATCGTACTGGCTTGATTTCCGTCTGAGACAAACTGTTCTAGTTAACATATTAAAGGAAGTACGTCACGGATGACACCGACAAAAGAAGTGTACACAGCACTGAAATAAATCATTGTTCTTATTGTTCTTATTACAACGGAGACAATTTTAGCTCTAATGTTCGGAAAACTGTCGTTAGTCTGTTGCAAATACCGTTTTAATAAGAAAACTAAAACAAAGAAATGTTTTACAGCAATATTGTCCTGTAATGCAAATAACATGGCAAAATCCGTTATGTGAGTAACAACGGAATAGGTCCGTGTGGTGTTAGTAACAGTGATAAATGATCCTATAAAAAACATTGCCCTGTGTTATTAGTCTTAGCGGAGGACTTCCCTACACAGCATTGATGCCATATATAACAACCAAATGCCAACTGTTAGTATGTATACTCAGATGATTTAAACAGATTTGGTTTCAAAAATAGATTTCATCACAACAGCATGCGCATATAAAACGACCTTACTCATAGTCAAAGCGTTCCTCAAACAATTTCAAATACTCAATATGTCTACTTAGCATAATGGGTTTGATAAATAAACGTATTCGTTCAGAACACTAGTGATAATACAAGTAATAATCCAAGTGCTAGGGGAACAATGCTACCCTATTTACTAACTGATATCGCGTTGTCGTCATTGGACGCTTCTGAAAATATCCACAATCACATGGTTCTTATGGAATTTCCACAATACCCATGTTGTATTTATCTCCGGATCAATGCACTCATTGCCACATTTAATTGACATTAACGAGTATACCGTGTCAGTTACCTTATAAAGTCTAACTAAAATGTCGTAATATAAACCATTAAAACTCGACTCAACCGATACCATACCTGTTTCCTCGCCTGTGATATGATAATGATGTTTTTAGAAACCGATACCATGACAATCATGTACATGTTATTGCACCATAATTTTGTATGCTTTATCCCATGACATGATGAGTTTGGTTGTACGATCTAATGAAATGATAATCATGTCAATAAATGTACAATGCACATGATGTTAGACTGATTCCCATGCCGTATTTATCTTCGCGTTGTTAGTCAGGTAGGATGTCATATGAAGGGTTCTAGATTCATGACTAAACTGTAATAACTTTGAGGTTTGATATATGTTGATCAGTTCAATAACGTACTAATGGTCTGTGTAATTTCGTTGCTAACACATGCTACGTATTTACCCGGAAGTTTAAATCATCCCAAAGCAAATTACAGACATAGGGGCCTTTTATCTTTTGGCAATAACAAATAGGTTTTGTAGTTTAAATAGCCAATCCGTAGTCCTATCTAATCTTAAGGTCCACTGGAGCCTATCACTATGTTAGCCTTCCACATAGGTATACAATAATTATTTGGCATGATATTTATTCCAGTTGAAAAAAGATTATATTGAGAAACATACCATTTGTATACACAAATGCTATGTAAACGAACCTATTCACCTATAAAGTGTTTTGTGTTTGACCTTTAAGACAATGGACATTCATATAACCTGGCTATAGAAATCTTAAAACAGAGTTTTCGTTTTTGTCATTTGATTCATTTTTCAATGATATATATTGTGAATAGATTGCTGATAAACATCTGTTCTAACAACATTACAAATCACTTTATTATGAGTCTTTATGTCCTTTCTGTCCTGAAAATGTTTTGTTAATAAACTTGTCAAGAAGATATTTTTAAAAACAATTTAGCCACATTTGACTTTGCTCCAGGCATTTCTTCTAAAATGTTGAAGACTGTGGGTCTAAATACACTAATATGCAAAAGTATATATTTTATTATATTATAAATGGATGTTAAATATGAATACAAATTTTGATATTTAAATTTTGTAGCCTTGGCGACAATTGAAAAAAATAAAACTTACAACCAATCACAAGGCTGATAGGTCATTAACATTGGTTGATACGCAAATATGACATGGGTATTTTCACTGGATATGTGATAGATTTGGTTGTAATACGCCTGATAAGTAAGAGACATCCGTGTGTAAGACCGATAGTTAAGTCTATTGCACGTTTGTATCGTTTAAAACATCATTATGGAAGCAAAACATAATATCATACACATCACTGCGCTGACGGGGTAGAGTTTGGAAACAGGTAAAGTGATTACGGTTTATCACAGAAGCATCTTGATATCTGTGCGAGCACGCAGATAACAATGACAACAAGGACTAGGATGTCTTTAGAGATAATCCGTCACATTATTCTTTACTGCATATTCGCGAAGAAGAACTGATTACTAACTATTACAGGAACTAGTAAGTTAACTACTATACGGAAACGACAAACCCACTGAACACCGGTCGAATTTCACTCTACTGGACATTGGTCAAACCTCACTCCACTGGACACCGGTCGAATTTCACTCTACTTGACATTGGTCAAACCTCACTCCACTGAACACCGGTCGAATTTCACTCTACTGGACATTGGTCAAACCTCACTCCACTGGACACCGGCCGAACCTCACTCCACTGGATACCAGTCGAACCTCACTGCACTGGATACCGGCCGAACCTCACTCCTCTGGATACCAGCCGAACCTCACTGCAGTGGATACCAGTCAAACCTCACTGCACTGGATACCGGCCGAACCTCACTGCACTGGATACCGGCCGAACCTCACTCCTCTGGATACCAGTCGAACCTCACTGCACTGGACACCGGCTGAACCTCACTGCACTGGACACCGGCCGACCCTCACTGCACTGGATACCGGTCGAACCTCACTCCTCTGGACACCAGCCGAACCTCACTGCACTGGATACCGGCCGAACCTCACTCCTCTGGATACCAGCCGAACCTCACTGCAGTGGATACCAGTCAAACCTCACTGCACTGGATACCGGCCGAACCTCACTGCACTGGAGACCGGCCGAACCTCACTCCACTGGATACCAGTCGACCCTCACTGCACTAGACACCGGCCGAACCTCACTGCCCTGGACACCGGCCGAACCTCACTCCACTGGATACCAGTCGAACCTCACTGCACTAGACACCGGCCGAACCTCACTGCACTGGACACCGGCCGAACCTCACTGCACTGGATACCGGTCGACCCTCACTCCACTGGACACCGGCCGAACCTCACTGCACTGGACACCGACTGAACCTTACTCTTCTGGACACCGGTCGAATCTCACTCCATTGGTTATATAACACGTAAAATTCACATTTTACATCAAAGTGAAGCCTTATGTCAGAGTCGAATATGCAGATAACTTGTTGGCTCCGTTTGTAGAACACGTGCTGTGTTTGATTTAACCTTTTAGGTAAAGGATTTTTAAAATAGCTGAAACGAAGAAAGATTTTCTGAAAAAACAATACATGTAATGCATTTTCCTCAATTGCAAGAATTGCTTAGATTGTGTCTGTCCATCGTGCACAGGGCGACGGTCATTGTAGAAAAGTTATTCTTCGAGTGTTAAACAGATTGATACCAGGAAGATGTCTCAGTAAGTATTGGACGAAATATGTGTGGTTTTACAAAATAAAACAATAAAAAAAGTGAAATTTGTGTCTTTCATAATTCAATTATAAACAAAAACAATTATCTTGATAATAAAATAACAAAATACTAAATATGGCCCTTGAAAGAAGTTTTATTAAAAATATATCTGTAAAAGATTAACAGGACGGAATATATAATACTTCATGATATATACACAACGTTAACAACAGCTCTACTCTATTTATAATAAACATAACCACGTATATAACAATAACATAAATAATTCAGTCGAAGTTGTTTTTATAATCTAATAATGGGATTTTACTTTCCTTTTAATAAATCTTAACACTATTTATTTTACAACAATTATAAAACAAGTCATTAGAACTTATATTAATGACCTTTGTTGGCCCGGATGTTAGCGCGCGAGTGTCTTCATGTGGGAGGAAACTGGAGTACCCGGATATAACCCACGTGGTCGAGCAGGTGAACCCAAACCTTATCCACTGCGCCACCCGACCATCCTTTTAATTAGCATAGTCATCTTTACAGCATTATTTACCAGAGTCGGTGGCTCATCTCGAACCCCAGTATACCTGGGGTTCCTACCCAATGGCTCTGTTACAGTTGTTTATCGCCGAGGAGGGGGATTCTACAACTTATTAGAAAGGTATTATCAATATCAGTATAATTAACATAAACATGAAAAAGTCATTCCGGAACTCCATTTCTGCTGCCCGTCGAAAATATTTGCCCAAGTTTGTAAGCTAACGTTAATAGTTCCAAATAGATGTTTTTTTGTCACTCATCTCGAGATAACGCTTCCGTCGTTTCGTTCTGATATACCTGTTGTTTTCAAACTGTTGAATGAGTTTATAGTTAACTGCTAGAAAATTATGAACATTCAAACATGATTTTAGAAAACACACGCAAAACAGCTACCAAAAGGGTTAGCAAAGTCATATTTAAATCAAACATATATTTGCTGATTAGTTACGCTACAGTAAATCATAAATCCCCTAACCCGACAAGATAGCTCAACCTAGTAATACGTTAGTGTTGTTAGAGTGTTTAATTCCACATCGCTAAAAATCTTGAACTGGGATGTATAAGGAAACGTAGTGAGTCTGTAACCAGGTAATGTGTTTAAGGAAACGTAGTGAGGCTGTAACCAGGTAATGTGCTTAAGGAAACGTAGTGAGTCTGTAACCAGGTAATGTGTTTAAGGAAGTTCGAAAAGAACGTAATTATTGGATGTATATAAGAAATTGTTGAAAGTCCGTAATTAGGTTTTGTGAATAAGGAAATGGGGAATGTCTGTAAATAGTTTTTACGTCTTAACATTTTGTAAAGTGTAAATCTGTAACTAGATAATGAAACAGATCGTCTGTAACTAGATAATGAAACAGATCGTCTGTAACTAGTAATGTGTAAATAAGGGAAGGTAGAAAATGGATATTGTGTGTAAGGAAAGTCATTGAAGTAATGTTTATTAGATATACCCCCACGTTTGCGATGTACAACACTTTCCATTGGTTAATAAGCATGGATTATTGGACGATAGACATTAGGCGTACATGTATAACATATGTTTAAATATGTATTTTTCAACAGACTAAAGCTCTTCCAAAAACTGCAAATTTACCGGTAAAAAGCGAGTTGCGTGACAGGTTTCATTTGCCTAAAGAGGATACCCGCATCTAATTTTGTATTTATATAAAGATTTGCCAGCGAGCGGAAAAACAAAGCAATTTATATTTCACCTCTACATATACTTAAAACCTGTCAGGCTAATGGTCAGAATGTTCTGCTAAGAACAGCCTAATTTAAATAATTAATTATCGGGGTCGCCTTGCTTCTCATAGGCGTAAAGACACAGTGGTAGACATGAACAAAATCTTTAAAAACATTTTACTTTGAAGAATAGATATAAATACTGTATGTTTGTATACAATGTTGGAATATAAACCTCGGGATTCAAAAATGTTGGAAAAATAATACACTCAGTGGCGGCCTTCGATAAATATTTTTTTCGCGTCGGAACTATTCTAAATCGTTAATTACAATATCAGTCTTTTCTTTTGAATAGGTTTGGAACGACGGGTGCACACCGATGATCACTTCTGCTGAATCGTCGACAGGGAACTCTTTCAGGGAGGGAAAATAAAGTTGAGAAGGCGAAACTTTCTCGTCGTCCATCCTGAGATTTGAAAGGGATACGACAGCCGTTGATTTCCTAAAATTAAAACAAGAACTAAATTAACCACAACATATTACTTGCATATATTTGTTAAAATATGATTTTATGCCAACATTCAAGTGATAAATGATAAAATGCATTACTTGTGTTTCAAAACTAGTTCCCTAGATTTTGAAAAAAACAACTAAAAACTAATTAACACCAACATATTCATATCTACTTGAGTTGTCTCATGAAGTATAAGGATTCTAGGAAATACAAACTATATCATTGGTTCTTTATCATCACATTACGTACCTGTTTTTATGTTTTAATATGCAAAGGAATACGACGATGATGACGACGAGGAGGATCACAATTCCGACTCCTACTCCTACGCCTATTGCGGTTTCTGAAATGTTTCAAATATTTCAGTTTATTCTATTATATATCATTTAAATACAAACCAGGTACACTAGTATAACATATAACACCATTTCATAACGTAATAGTAACTGGTCACACCTTCTTTAAAATTTGCATAGTGTCTTGGTGTAAGCAGATTATATCGGATATACCTTATACATTGTTTAGTTTACTCCACCCCTACAGATTCACAGAGGACGGAACAGTTGTAAAATGTTGCGTTATTTATTATTGACCAAGGTTTACAATATACACACTTCTCTCATTATTAATTAGAAATAAATCAGTTCTCTTCTTATTTGTTAAATTCATATTACCAAGAGCTTGCCCCCTCCCGCTTTTGTGTAAACAGTATTAACCCTATTTTACACCAATTTGACGTCAACCTTTTTTAATGTTAAACGTAAGATATTCCAGTTTGATATTACTTGCTAAGTTCGCAGCACATACCATCATTTAAAACATACCATATTATTTAATTGATAAGCTAAACCTGCGTAAAAGATATACCAGTACAAATATCATGCTGACTTACCTGAGGTGTCATCACTAACAGACGGCCCGGGGTCTGCATTCACGGTCTGGCAACTTCCAGTCTGATATATAAATAGAAACATAAATCATGTAGGAGGAATTTAATTCAAATATGAAAGAAACTTACTTAAGTTTTCCCTGAAAAGGACATTGGATTGATGATAATCGAGCGTATTTGAGGTATTTTTAACGTTTTATTTCTTGCATATAATATCATCATTGGTGTCGGAATTAAATATATCAAAACATGACATTAAAACCAAATGCGTTTCTATTGAGATTTGGAAAATCAATCGGGGACGTGCCGAGCCCTCATCAAAAAATTATATTTAGATTTAACGAAATCTGAACGAGAAGGATTTTTTTTAAATGAATAACATAACGATATGTTGTTGTTTATCTGGACGCTACATTACTATCTGGTAATGTTATTATACGTTTTTCTCTGAAAAAAATCATTATGTGTCTTTCAATCCTTTATGTCGATAAAAGGTACCAAATTAGTATAACAATTCAACCCTATACAAATTACATTCTTAAAAAAAACACCAAAAAACATCTATTGAACATGAATTGACGTTAATGATAGAACTTGTGACTATATCCAGTATAATCTCAATTCTTGGGTATTATTTATATTTTCTAAAGCTTTATCATTATATGAACGATAAGATAAGCATTTTAAACAAATATGCTAATTTTCATAATCCCTTACACCGATACACATACTCTCGTACATCCGTACACACTGTCATTCTTATATTCATTTACACCCGTACACATACTACCTTACATCCGCACACATACTCCCTAACACCCATACACAAACTCCCTTACACTCATACACATACTCCCTTACATCCATACCCATACTCCCTTACACCCGTACACAGACTTCCTTACACCCATACACCATACACATACTACCTTACATCCGCACACATATTCCCTTACACCCGTACACACAATCCCTTACACCCGTACAATATTCCCTTGCACCCATACACACACTCTATTATACCCGCACAGATATTCCCTTACACCCGTATAATACTCCCTTAAACCTGCACACATATTCCCTTACACCCGTACACACAATCCCTTACACCCGTACAATACTCCCTTACTCCTGTACACATACTCCCTTCACCCGTACACATACTTCCTTACACCCGTACACATATTCCCTTACACCCGAACACACAATCCCTTACACCCGTACAATACTCCCTTACTCCTGTACACATACTCCCTTCACCCGTACACATACTCCCTTACACCCGTAAACATATTCCCTTACACCCGTACACACAATCCCTTACCCCCGTACAATACTCCCTTACACCTGTGCACATACTCCCTTCACCCGTACACATATTCCCTTACACCCGTACACACAATGCCTTACACCCGTACAATACTCCCTTACACCTGTACACATACGCCCTTCACCCGTACACATACTCCCTTACACCCGTACACATATTCCCTTTCACCCGTACACACAATCCCTTACACCCGTACAATACTCCCTTACACCTGTGCACATACTCCCTTCACCCGTACACATACTCCCTTACACCCGTATACATACTTCCTTTCTCTTGCCCATACTTTCTCCACCCGAACATACACATTCACTCATTGTAATCCCTTACACCCGTACACAAACAGTAAGTCTACATACTCCCTTACAGCCGTACACACATGCAGTCTTAGTAACCCCGTACACCCATACACACAATTGGACAGCATATACTCCCTAACACCGGTACACACACAGTCACTCTTCATACTCCCTTACACCTGTTTACACACATTTAGACTCCATACTCAGTAACACCTATTCACACACATTTAGACTTCATGCTCCCTTACACCTATTCACAAGCATTAAGACTTCATATTCGCTTACATCTGTTCGCACACATTTAGACTTCATACATCCTAACACCTGTTCGCACACATTTAGACTTCCTACACCTTTAAACCTGTTCACAAGCATTTAGACTTTCATAATCCCTTACACCTGTTCACACACATTTAGACTTTTATACGCCTTACACCTGTTCACACGCATTTATACTTTCATAATCCCTTACACCTGTTCACACATATTTAGACTTCCTACACCATTAAACCAGTTCACACGCATTTAGACTTTCATACCCCCTTACACCTGTTAACACAAATTTAGACTTTCATAATCCCTTACACCTGTTCACACACATTTATAATTTCATACGCCTTACACCTGTTCACACACATTTAGACTTCCTACACCGTTACACCTGTTCACACACATTTACACTCCCTGCACCCTTACACCTGTTCATACATATTTAGACTTCATACACCCTTACACCTGTTCACACATATTTAGACTCCCTACACCCTTACACCTGTTCACACACATTTAGACTTTCATATTCCCTTACACCTGTTCACACACATTTATGCTTTCATACTCCCTTACACCTGTTCACACAAATTTAGACTTCCTACACCCTTACACCTGTTCACACACATTTAGACTCCCTGCACCCTGAAACCTGTTCACACGCATTTATAATTTCATACTTCCTTACACCTGTTCACACATATTTAGACTCCCTGCACCCTTACACCTGTTCACACATATTTTAACTTCATACACTCTTACACTTGTTCACACATATTTAGACTTCATACTCCCTTACACCTGTTCACACACATTAATGCTTTCATACTCCCTTACACCTGCTCACACACATTTACACTCCCTGCACCCTTACACCTGTTCACACATATTTAGACTTCATACACCCTTACACCTGTTCACACATATTTAGACTTCATACTCCCTTACACCTGTTCACACACATTTATACTTCATACTCCTTACACCTGTTCACACACATTAAGACTTCATACTCCCTTACACCTGTTCACACACATTTATACTTCATACTCACTTACACCTGTTCACACAGAATTATACTTCATACTCCCTTACACCTGTTCATACACATTTACACTTCATACTCCCTTACACCTGTTCATACACATTTAGACTTCATACTCCCTTACACCTGTTCACACACATTTATACTTCATACTCCCTTACACCTGTTCACACACAATTATACTTCATACTCCCTTACACCTGTTCATACACATTTACACTTCATACTCCCTTACACCTGTTCATACACATTAAGACTTCATACTCCCTTACACCTGTTCACACACATTTATACTTCATACTCTCTTACACCTGTTCACACACATGTATGCTTCATACTCCCTTACACCTATTCACACATATTTAGACTTCATACTCCCTTACACCTGTTCAGAGACATTTAGACTTCATACTCCCTCACACCTGTTCACACACATTTATTCCTCATACTCCTTACACCTGTTTATACACATTTAGACTTCATACTCCCTTACACCTGTTCACACACATTTATACTTCATACTCCCTTGCACCTGTTCATACACATTTATACTTCATACTCCCTTGCACCTGTTCATACACATTTAGACTTCATACATCCTTACACCTAGGCCTGTTCATACATATTTAGACTTCATACTCCCTTACACCTGTTCTCACACATTTATACTTCATACTACCTTACACCTGTTCACACACATTTATACTTCATACTCCCTTACACCTGTTCACACACATTCACTCTTTAGTAAAAATTTCATTTCGTAGTATAGTATAAACGTAATTCCATGTTATTGTCTTTACCTTTTCTGTACACATCATAGAAGTGGTGTTACACTCGTAACAATTAGCGTCAAAGTTAAGGAATGTGACTTCAGTACTGAAGGTCGTGCCGTCGTTGGACATGCTGATCTTGTAGCCACTTGGAAGACTAGCATATGTGGAGCGGCGTTTCCGGGAAGCTGGTATTTTGCAGATACACGTGAACGAGTTGACGTATGTTGCAGAAAAAGTCATAGCCTCCCCTTCCAATCGAATGACCGAACCATAGACCTACATTACAAACCAATAGTTATTAATTACACAAACAATGCCTCGATTTATATAAGGTCCTCCGTTTAAATCGATTTAAGTAAAACTCGACAGAATGTCTTTAGTATTATACATCACACTTTGTGATATAGTAAGCGTTTTGCCAATGAGTCAGTCCGTGCGTTTGTTGTAAAATGCTCTCATAAACATTGACACAATTAGTTCGAATTCACTATAGTTTAGTAGAATGAGATTTTACATGCAAAAACATTTTGTTGGCAAAATAATCAACGGTCACGGAAAAAGAACACACTTGACCACTTTTGAAGCAAAGGATTGTGTATAACACATCTCATCACTCTTTAACATTTAAGGTTATGTAATAGTGAGGTTAAATGAAGCTCTACATCTAATAAGGGTTTGGTGGTCATCGGTCAAAGCTAAAGGGTCAAATGTATCCGTCAAAAGTAAAAAGCTTTTGATAAAGTTATATCATAAACCCTTTAGATTATATTTAAACCAGCGTGTGCTAACCATGAATTCTTCTACACCTGGTGAGAATTTACTGTTTATATGTCAAAGTGAAATGGTCCAAAGTCACAGGCAAAGCGGGCTAGGGAAAGGGGGCTTGGTCGTGGGGTATAGCTATGTGAACGTCTATTCACTTGGTTTTATAAATTACAAATAATGAAACTCGATTCATTGCCCTGTGTTCTATTTTTCTATTTGTGACCTCGTCTTTGTTCACTTTGTTTTCATTTTCACTTTTTAATACTTCCTATAATTACCTCAGTTTCTTTCGATATATTAACAAACCTCTGTGAAAAGCCGATAATGTCACTTCTTGATTCAATTTATATCTATGAACAATAACTTCCTTGTTTTGTCCAATCCCATTTACAGGAAAAACCTTTTAATCATGTTGTGTGACATATATAGTTAGTTGATATGTTAATTTTATGAATCCAATTCTGTTGTTAAAAACGAATTTGATTGAAAAATAATATTGATATACATCATCTGATTCATTTAATGAATTAAAAGGTTATCTGATGTTGATTTTGTTATAAGCATTTTTAATATTTTGAAACAAGTAGACAATAATATAATGACATCACTATAACTATTTTATTGTAAATAAAATTGGTTATTTTGCCGTATGAAATACATTGTTACGATATTCATTTATAATGACATTGATTCTTATTTCTCACGCTAAGTGTTAGTACTTACCTTGAACGGTTGGGCTCTGCATGTCAGTTGCATCGGCATAAAGTTTTCCCCTGATACAAGGTATTTGGAGCAGACGTTTATCGATGTATCGCACAAGCCCACATTTGTTTCTTGGGACAGGATGGGTGGGGCGTTTCCGCTCATTGAACAATCATTTCCCGAATAACCGTTTTCACACTGACAAGTACCTTTAAGTTGGCAAAACAAAATTAACCAAGAGTGTCATTTTAAACGAATGATTCAAACCTTGCCTCGGTGAAATAGTACCTTTGGCGTTATGAGATTTGCGAACTCGTATTGTTATGTAAATTATTCTACAAGTGAAACATGTTTTTTACCAATGAGTGTACTATCGAATGCTTAAGAAGCTATTGAACTAAAAGATTAGTTTATTTCAAGAGCAAAATATTAACCATCAATAATATTTCAATTTAGCTTAAATTATTATATAAACTGTCTGAGCGTTACATAAATCGAATGGTATAAGCTAAAAAAAGAAAAAGTAACTACGATGTATTTTTATCATATACCATTGATACAGGACCCAACATTGGAGCAGTTGTTGGAACAACTCAATGCTAACATCTCATCCAGAATAGTGCTGCCACTTCCGGTATCGTTCTTTGTAAGGTTTTCTAAACGTACTGCTTCCGCTATACACGCCGTCTTCAGTAACGACAGAGTAGATTCCATGAACAACGTCGATCCTGAGAGCTGAATAAAATGTTTGGACATAATTTATAAAGATAATAAACGATACATATTGATGGGACACTTTCTTTTTTGAAATTTTTGTTTAATTCAGAACCCAAGAAGGGGAATCAAACTCCGGTCGTCTCGGTGAGAAGCGAGAGGGCTTTCCGTTGTGCCACCAACTAACCAGCGTGAAGTTGGTTACTTATTCAATATTGGGCTAGCCCAATATTGGACTGGACCAATGTTGGGCTGGCGCAATATTGGGCTAGTTTGATATTCAAATACACCTAACATAATAGTTCTTATGCCGCTTTTTCACACAAATACCACAACTGGGCATCTTCTAAGGTATCCACATGCAAAACGGCATCAACGATACCCCAGGCTAAAGGTGCTCACTGGATATCATTTCGAATTTCAGTATATAAACGTAAATTTTTCGTTTTCAACAGGCCACGGCATATTGTTATAGGTCTTATGCCGCTTTTTCACACCTATGCCACAACTGGGCATCTTTTAATGTATCCACATGAAAAACGGCATCAACGATACCGCAGGCTAAAGATGCTAGGTATATTTGAATATCAAACTAGCCCAATATTGCGCCAGCCCAACATTTGTCCAGTCCAATATTGGGCTAGCCCAATATTGAATAAGTAACCAACTTCACGCTGGTCACCAACTACCAATAAATTGATCACACCTCGTATCAACTAAAACATTTTCTTAAGCCGCTTTTATTTTCATCATAACATAGGTGACATTCATATCAGTTTCATGGTATTGTTGAATACGCTGAAGCTCCCTGACAGTTGCCTGTTATCATGCTCACTTCTTATATATCACGTTTTGTATGGATCAGTTGTCGTTTATAGCCAGCAATGAATGCAAGAAACTTACATTATTCAACCTGAATATCACATGGTTTCATCTACTCACATTTCTGTTTAAACCCATAAACAAAGCAGACTTACCTTGATGTCCTTGGTACAGTCTGGTATATAATCTTCACTGTCAAATCCTGGTATTACCTCCTTATGTTTCTGTGTAATCCCATAAACAATGTAGACTTACCTTGATGTCCTTGTTACAGTCGGGGACAAAGACTTCGATGTCAAATCCTGGTATCACCTCTTTACATTTCTGTGTAATCCCATAAACAAAACGGACATACCTTGATGTCCTTGTTACAGTCGGGGACAAAGACTTCGATGTCAAATCCTGGTATCACCTCTTTACATTTCTGTGTAATCCCATAAACAAAACGGACATACCTTGATGTCCTTGTTACAGTCGGGGACAAAGATTTCGCTGTCAAATCCTGGTATCATCTCATCATGTTTCTGTTCACTGATCCCATAAACAATGTAGACTTACCTTGATGTCCTTGTTACAGTCGGGGACAAAGACTTCGCTGTCAAATCCTGGTATCACCTCTTTACATTTCTGTGTAATCCCATAAACAAAGCTGACATACCTTGATGTCCTTGTTAGAGTCGGGGACGAAGACTTCGCTGTCAAATCCTGGTATCCCCTCTTTACATTTCTGTGTAATCCCATAAACAAAGCTGACATCCCTTGATGTCCTTGTTACAGTCGGGGACAAAGATTTAGCTGTCAAATCCTGGTATCATCTCATCATGTTTCTGTTGGCTGATCCCATAAACAATGTAGACTTACCTTGATGTCTTTGTTACAGTCGGGGACGAAGACTTCGCTGTCAAATCCTGATATCACCTACTCATGTTTCTGTTGACTGATCCTATAAACAATGTAGACTTACCTTGATGTCTTTAATACAGTCGGGGACGAAGACTTCGCTGTCAAATCCTGGTATCATCTCATCATGTTTCTGTTGACTGATCCCATAAACAATGTAGACTTACCTTGATGTCTTTATTACTGTCGGGGACGAAGACTTCGCTGTCAAATCCTGGTATCACCTCCTCATGTTTCTGTTGACTGATCCCATAAACAATGAAGACTTACCTTGATGTCTTTGTTACAGTCGGGGACAAAGACTTCGCTGTCAAATCCTGGTATCACCTCCTCATGTTTCTGTTGACTGATCCTATAAACAATGTAGACTTACCTTGATGTCTTTATTACAGTCGGGGACAAAGACTTCGCTGACAAATCCTGGTATTATCTCATCATGTTTCTGCTCACTAATTCAATTAACAAAGTAAACTTTACCTTGATGTCCTTGGTGCAGTCGGGGACATAAACTTCGCTGTCAAATCCTGGTATCACCTCCTCACATTTCTGGATGAGAGGACTGTCCCTGAGGAATTCCCTACAAGCTAATGCGGCTGATGCCTCCGTCCAATTACCAGACCAATCAGGTACCTTTAAACATAGAACCAATAAAAAAAAATGCAAAATGAGGTTTATAATTAAACTGTACAAACTGTGGAAAGATTTATGTTGCAAAACCAAAAGTGTTTGTATATGACGTTTCGATGACTTATACGGTATGTACTCTGTCACCTTCATCAGACAAATGACCAGTGAAGCGTATGCACACAAAGGTGTAAAATATGTACGGTTCGGCTATGCTATAAGTGTATTAACAATTAGTTGTTATATGAACCGAAATGACTCGATTCAGCTAAAGTATAAAACAAAGCGTAGCTGAATCGAGTCATTTCGGTTCATATGTAACAACTCATTGTACATACGCTTACAGCGACAACGATTTGTGGACAACTCGTATATATTGTACATCACTGTACATGCGCTTAACTGGTCATTTGTCTGATGAAGGTGACAGAGTACATGCCGTACTAGTCATCGAAACGTCATATATAAACACTTTTGGTTGTGCTACATGAATCTTTTCACAATCCCTACTATCAAACCTGAAACAAATGTAAAAAATAAATTGTACAATACTTATTTTAAAATAAATATGTAAAATATTCATATGTCTACACAAGGAGACAGTATGTACTGAATGTTTTCACGAAAATCCTTAAATAAAGGAAATACCAAATCAAACGTTAAGCCAAGGCAATGACCAAGATACAAAGCTGTGAATTAAACTTAATTATCCAAGAGAATCACTTTCTAATTGTGAGTTGGGTAAATTCGACACATCTTGTTAAGTCACAAATTTTAATCTGATACAGAGACATGATCGATGGTAACAATGTTATCGCCATATGGAAGATGAACAAACAGTTTTCATTCAAATAATTTAAGAAAGATACTTACTCCACTTTCTGTATCATTGTTTCCACCCAGATTAGAGTACCAGGGAAAGTACACCATCTCTTCATCCGTATCGCGTTTTGTAAATGATGTCCGGCACGTGTCAAGGTACCCATACGAAGCAGTGTCAGAGGAGTCAGACGAAGAACAGGGCTCAGCCGGTGACGCCGAACAGGAAGCATGCTCATCAAACTTTGTTTCGTTTTTACAGGTGCAATATTCACGGGCCGTCATTGTAGGAGATGACTGCGTTACCAGGGGATTTATGAATAACGACTGCGAAGTTCCCTCTGTAATTCTGTAATTGTAGACGGTTGATATGTATACAAATATTTAAAATACACAATTGAAATCTTTCAAAAAAAATGGAATATATATGTGTGTTCTATTCATTAACGATTGCTAGTTATTGTTCTCACGATTGTAATTTCTGTCTAGTTGAACTACTAGCTCAGGAAATATCAGCCATTTAGGCAATAAAATAGTGCGGGATGATTTAGTTTGGACATAGTATGATAAAAATATTGTTTATTTAAAAGTTAATGACAATTAGCAGTATATAAAACCTCAATTTAGTTTTCATTAGACGAGTGATTTTTTATACGGATACAAACTTCCAGCTGGTGCCGAAGACTGACTCATTGGAGGTTTCACTTCCGTCTGTCTTTTTAAAGTCATTTCCTGTTGATCCGTCCATATATCCACATAACCCTGCGGACGCTTTCCAGTCCAAAACCGAGGGTTTCACGAAAATGTAGTGTATAAATACAGCTGATGAGTAGGATCCGTAGTGGAAAGTCACCGATGTCCCCGTGGGAAGGGTAATCTATAATTAATCCATATTTTACACAACTTATTTATTTTAAAACAATATTGATTTAAACTTTATAAGATTGACAGCTTTACGAAACATGTAGTAGACATTAATAAATTAAAAAGACCAGTAGGTCATAACGTATGCGCTAACAATATAACAGCTTATCTACCACACTTTGTAAATGCATTCCTGTTATAGCCAGGGGGGAAATTGATAGAATATATCACCCCATAGATGGTAGATTCTTAAGTTGCCAAATACGAGGCTTTCCAAGGATTGATATTCCCCATCTCACCTAAAGGGAGTAAGCATTCTTGTTCTCTTATCCTTTTTACCATGTCATTTACACAAATCAATGTTTCATTTCCGATTCAATGCATTTTGACGATACGTTAATGCATTTTTTACATGACGTCATTGTGTTGTTGACGTGACATTATGTTTATAATAAGGAAATCCTTGGACGAGACAAGGATATCTCATAACTAGAAAAATGGTGGATACGCCAAAATAATCCTACATAAAGAAAAACAGCTTACTCGCGTTATTATCCTGAAACATCCGTATTGCATCATCAATTTATGCAGTGAAACGTCATCAATTTTGTTGAGATTGTCAATGTATTTGGTTAACAATTACTTCTGTATGTTGGATACAGAAACCTCAAGCCTGAAGATAAGGTATAAAACCTCAACCATGAAGAAAAGCTATAAAACCTCAAGCCTGAAGATAAGGTATAAAAACTCAAGCCTGAAGATTAGGTATAATAACTCAAGCCTGAAGATAAGGTATAATAACTCAACCCTGAATATAAGGTATATTAACTCAACCCTGAAGATAAGGTATAAAAACTCAACCCTGAATATAAGGTATATTAACTCAACCCTGAATATAAGGTATATTAACTCAACCCTCTCAACCCTGAATATAAGGTATATTAACTCAACCCTGAAGATAAGGTATAACACCTCAATCCTGAAGATAAGGTATAAAACCTCAACCCTGACTATAAGGTATAATAACTAAACCCTAAATATAAGGTATATTAACTCATCCCTGAAGATAAGGTATAAAAACTCAACCCTGAATATAAGGTATATTAACTCGACCCTGAAGATAAGGGATAAAACCTCAACCCTGACTATAAGGTATAATAACTCAACGGTGAATATAGGGTATATTAACTCACCCCTGAAGATAAGGTATAATAAATAATAACTAAACCCTGAATATAAGTTATACTAACTCAACCCTGAATATAAGGTATAATAACTCAACCCTGAATATAGGGTATATTAACTCAACCCTGAAGATAAGGTATAAAACCTCAACCCTGAAGATAAGGTATAAAACCTCAACCCTGAATATAAGGTATATTAACTAAACTCTGAATATAAGGAATATTAACTCAACCCTGAATATAAGGTATAATAACTCAACCCTGAATATAAGGTCTATTAACTCAACCCTGAAGATAAGGTATAAAATCTCAACCCTGAATATAAGGTATAAAAACTCAACCCTGAAGATAAGGTATAAAAACTCAACCCTGAATATAAGGTATACTAACTCAACCCTGAATATAAGGTATAATAACTCAACCATGAATATAAGGTATATTAACTCAACCCTGAAGATAAGGTATAAAACCTCAGCCATGAAGATAAGGTATAAAACCGCATCCATGAAGATAAGGTATAATAACTCAAGCCTGAAGATAAGGTATAATAACTCAACCCTGAAGATAAGGTATAATAACTCAACGCTGAATATAAGGTATATTAACTCAACCATGAAGATAAGGTATAAAAACTCAACCCTGAATATAAGGTATACTAACTCAACCCTGAATATAAGGTATAAAACCACAACCCGGAATATAAGGTATATTAAATCAACCCTGAAATAAGGTATATTACCTCAACCATGAAAATAATGTATAAAACCTCAACCCTGAATATAAGGTATATTAACTCAACTCTGAATATAAGGTATATTAACTCAACCCTGAATATAAGGTATAAAACCACAACCCGGAATATAAGGTATATTAAATCAACCCTGAAATAAGGTATATTACCTCAACCATGAAAATAATGTATAAAACCTCAACCCTGAATATAAGGTATATTAACTCAACCCTGAAGATAAGGTATAAAATCTCAACCCTGAATATAAGGTATACTAACTCAACCCTGAATATAAGGTATATTTAATCAACCCTGAATATAAGGTATATTACCTCAACCCTGAAGATAAGGTATAAAACCTCAACCCTGAATATAAGGTATATTAACTCAACTCTGAATATAAGGTATATTAACTCAACCCTGAAGATAAGGTATAAAACCTCAACCCGGAATATAAGGTATATTAAATCAACCCTGAAATAAGATATATTACCTCAACCATGAAAATAAGGTATAAAACCTCAACCCTGAATATAAGGTATATTACCTCAACCCTGAAGATCAGGTATAAAACCTCAACCCCGAAGATAAGGTATAAAAACTTAAGCCTGAAGATAGGGTATAAAAACTCAAGCCTAAAGATAAGGTATAAACACTCAAACCTGAAGATAAGGTATTATAACTTAACCATGAAGATAAGGTATAATTCTCAACCCTGAAGATTAGGTACTATAACTCAAGCCTGAAGAGAATATAAGGTATATTAACTAAACTCTGAATATAAGGTATATTACTCAACCCTGAATATAAGGAATATTTAATCAACCCTGAATATAAGGTATAAAAACTCAAGCTTTAATATAAGGTATAAAAACTCAAGCCTTAAGATAAGGTATAAAAACTTAAGCCTGAAGATAGGGTATAAAAACTCAAGCCTTAAGATAAGGTATAAAAACTAAAGCCTGAAGATAAGGTAAAATAACTCAAGCCTTAAGATAAGGTATAAAAACTTAAGCCTGAAGATAGGGTATAAAAACTCAAGCCTGAGGATAAGGTATAAAAACTCAAGCTTTAATATAAGGTATAAAAACTCAAGCTTTAATATAAGGTATAAAAACTCAAGCTTTAATATAAGGTATAAAAACTCAAGCTTTAATATAAGGTATAAAAACTCAAGCTTTAATATAAGGTATAAAAACTCAAGCCTTAAGATAAGGTATAAAAACTAAAGCCTGACGATAAGGTATAAAAACTCAAGCTTTAATATAAGGTATAAAAACTCAAGCTTTAATATAAGGTATAAAAACTCAAGCTTTAATATAAGGTATAAAAACTCAAGCTTGAAGATAAGGTATAAAAACTCGAGTCTGAAGATAAGGTATAAAATCTCAACCCTGAATATAAGGAATATTTAATCAACCCTGAATATAAGGTATATTAACTAAACTCTGAGTATAAGGTATATTAACTCAACCCTCTCAACCCTGAATATAAGGAATATTTAATCAACCCTGAATATAAGGTATAAAAACTCAAGTCCGAAGATAAGGTATAATAACTCAAGTCTGAAGATAAGGTATAAAAAGATAAGGTATAAAACCTCAACCCCGAAGATAAGGTATAAAAACACAAGCCTGAAGATAAGGTATAAAGACTCAAGCCTGAAGATAAGTCATAAAACCTCAAGCCTGAAGATAAGGTATATTAACTCAACCCTTAATATAAGGTATAATAACTCAAGCCTTAAGATAAGGTATAAAAACTTAAGCCTGAAGATAGGGTATAAAAACTCAAGCCTGGAGATAAGGTATAAAAACTCAAGCTTGAAGATAAGGTATAATAACGCAATCCTGAAGATAAGGTATAAAATCTCAACGCTGAATATAAGGTATAAAAACTCAAGCCTAAAGATAAGGTATAAACACTCAAACCTGAAGATAAGGCATAAAACCCCAAGCCTGAAGATAAGGTATTGAATATAAGGTATATTTAATCAACCCTGAATATAAGGTATAATAACTCAAGCTTGAAGATAAGGTATAATAACGCAATCCTGAAGATAAGGTATAAACCCTCAACCCTGAATATAAGGTATATAAACTCAACCCTGAAGATAAGGTATAAAATCTCAACGCTGAATATAAGGTATAAAAACTCAACCCTGAATATAAGGTATAAAAACTCAAGCTTTAATATAAGGTATAAAAACTCAAGCTTTAATATAAGGTATAAAAACTCAAGACTGAAGATAAAGTATAAAAACTCATCCCTAAAGATAAGGTATAATAACTCATCTCTGAAGATAAGGTATAAAATCTCAACGCTGAATATAAGGCATATTAACTCAACCATGAAGATAAGGTATAATACTCATCCCTGAAGATTAGGTATTATAACTCAAGCCTGAAGATAAGGCATAAAACCTCAAGCCTGAAGATAAGGTAAAATAACTCAAGCCTGAAGATAAGGTATATTAACTCAACTCTGAATATAAGGTATAATAACTCAAGCCTGAAGATAAGGTATAATAACTCAACCCTGAAGATAAGGTATAATAACTCAATCCTGAAGATAAGGTATAAAAACTCAAGCCTGAAGATAAGGTATAATAAGTCAACCCTGAGGATAAGGTGTAATATAGAAAAGATCGTACCTAGGTTAGGATATCTACTTCACAACGGAGTGATAGATTTATTGATCCTCATTGGTTATATCAATATGTCCGGATATGCTTCATTAAGAATAAAACAGTCCATATTTCGATCAGTGGTTTAAGCTGTCGATTCCAACTGTGTTAGTTAGCGGTTACATATAAGATTTTGTTTGTTTATATTTTATCGTTGTAAGTTTTCATAACTTACCTGGAAGCCGGATCCATATCGGTTACTGGATTGATAATGCGTTATCTTCATCGCATCTTTGTCACAGCCGTTGTACTCGATAATTCTGTTGAACCCATTTGAATGCTTACAGAAGTTGGCCCTGAAGACTGCATTATCATTACGTATAGCGATTCCACAGTTACATTTGGCGTTGGGTAAACCATAGTCACATGGCTGGAAATAGGCGTGAATCTAAACCACAAGATACAAAATGAACTGTATTAAGTTTCATTAATACATGTATGTTGTCAAAAGAATGAGTCATATTTGTCGGAAAATATATTCTTTCCCTTTTATTATTGTTCTGAAATTCTAAAATTCCTACAATAAAAAGATCAATTAACATATAGTCTAGGCTAAGAAGAACTTCGAGGAAGAAATACATAGGTAATATAGTTTTAATGCTTTCTATAGAGTTTAAGTAGAGATGAGGATTAACTTACCGCAACGGGCAGAGTGTCGTGCTTATACAAGACGTATTCTCCAGTTACTTGTAATTCGTATTGCCTAAATAAGGAAAAGTAATGTAAACATATGCTACATTGCGTTGAAACATTCTTTGTCTTATTATCAATTTATCCTCCTGATATATTTTTATTTATACATTATCAGTTCGAATCTAAAATAAAATCTACTTTCCACAACAGTAGCTGGAAACAAGTTATGAACCAGAACGTAATTAATAGTAAAATGGCATTGCAGACCACGAGTAAATGTGCCAAAATTCAACTTCTGTTAAAATAAAATCTGGCTACAGTTTATAATTGAAACTGATTGCTAGTACAAATTGTAATCACATGCCTTGGTATATAAAACACATACATGTACCTCGGCTACTCATATACGACTATATACTTATTGTTTCAGTAATAAATTATCTTACTTACTTGCCGTCAAAGGTTTTCATATGTGGGTCGTTCGAAGAGTAACACACTTTACCCATAATGTTAATATCATCGTCATGGATGTTAATCTGACAAAATAGAAAGCAGAGATATATTGTCAGTGTAAGATGAGAAAAATCATTTTATTTTCCAGATATGTTAAAATACCTATAAGTTGTTAAAAAATATCGTTATTCTAGTTCATCAAGCGAAATTAAACATTAATTAGAGGTTATATTGGTATGTTGGTATATTTACGTACTTATTGATGTCGAGGTATTAAAAAGACAATAGAAACCATATGGCTAAGAGACTGACAACACCATGTGTCAGATCGACTTAGGGAAGTCTCTTTATTATCAATATTGTTTACCCTTTGCTTTTGTGTGTTAATTTTTGATTTAGGGTGTGATAACTTTTAATTTTGTGTGCGATAACTTTTGATTTTGTGTGTGATAATTTAGATTTTTTGTGTGATTACTTTTGATTTTTGTGTGTGATTACCTTTGATTTCGTGTGTGGTTACCTTTGAGTTCGTGTGTGGTTACCTTTGATTTCGTTTGTGGTTACCTTTGATTTTGTGTGTTTACCTCTATTTCATCTCCGACTACCTGGCTCCAAACTTTGTGTGTTATAACCGAGTCTGTTCGTAACTGCAGCAGTGCCATGCGATGTCCTGAGTTAACGATATTGTCCGGCGCTCCATGTATCTTCATCACGGCTGATGTATCCCAGCTGGTATGATAGATCAATACTCCACATTCATTGTTCTTAAACGTTACGGCATTGTTGGTAACACCACCTCGTGAACACTGGTCTGTGGACTCGTCTTTTGGTGAAACTACTCGAATTCTCATATGACAGTGATCCTGTTCAAATTTCTGGACCCTAAAGTAGGATTTTTACGAATATGTTTGAACAGGAAATTTAGTATAATTATAAACGAATAATAAAATGTGACAATATAACTGGGAAAAAACCGGGATCAATATCACACTTACACCGTATTGAAAATAACGTTAACAACTATACCGTGAAGGTTTTGAATGTGACGTAACAACCTACATATTGTAGGGTTGATTGTGACGTCCCTACCTGTACCGTTTAAGAACACGGTTGAATGTTACGTCACAACGTGCTCCCTAAAGGGTTGATTGTGACGTCACAACTTACACGGTCACGGATGGAATTGGACGTAATAACTTATATCATGTAAGGTTGAATGTAGCGTCATAACCTTCAACCAATATGTTTGAATGTGTCGTCATAACGTACAGCGCGAAAGGTTGAATGTGACGTCACAACCTACATCGTATAGGATTGAATGTGACGTCACAACCTATAACGTGTAGGATTTAATGTGACGTCACAACCTACATCATGTAATATCGAATGTGACGTCACAACCTACATCATGTAATGTTGAATGTGACGTCACAACCTACATCAAAGGTTAAATGTGACGTCACAACCTACATCATGTAAGGTTGAATGTGCCGTCACAACCTACACCATGTAAGGTTGAATGTGACGTGTGGGTTCCTGATAAACTGTTTGCTGAACATTACCTTCAACCAATATGTTTGAATGTGTCGTCATAATGACAGCGTGAAAGGTTGAATGTGACTTCACAACCTACATCGTATAGGATTGAATGTGACGTCACAACCTACACCATGTAAGGTTGAATGTGACGTGTGGGTTCCTGATAAACTGAGTTTGCTGAACAGTGAGTTAAAGATCAAACATACAGCGCTTAAACGTAACTTACTTCGTTAGTGACAACAGTTGAACATATTAACACATAACGCGTTTTGTGATAACTTCATAAACAAGAGGCCCATGGGCCTTAACGGTCACCTGATATATTTATACAGAGAGTTGATTTCGTTTTTAACATGAACAGAAATATTATTCAAAGTGACAAAAAACAATAAAACCACCTTATTCAATATCAAGCATACAGATTTCAGACTAAAAAGGATTTGAAACTAGCACCTCTGATTCTAAACAAGGAAAATGAAGAAATTTTAGCACACTGACTCCCTTGAGCCCCACCCTACAGCCCTTGGGGGTAGGGCTGGCTCAAAATTTTCAAAGTATCAAACTGTCAACTCAAGGTTATAATTCCAATCAAGTTATTAACATGTAATATTCAAA